TTCTTCTATTTTCTTGCTGACTGTTGCTCTGATTTTGGATGCCTCGGTTCTGCTGTTGATACCTTTCCTGCGGTGGGTGTTTTTAGCACGGGTGGGGAGGGGTGCCTGGTTGTCCTCTCTAGGAAAACTATTTATAGCCATAATGACCGAGGAAGCTAGTGATTTGTCTCTCCTTGCAGGGACAGCTAGGCATATGTTTCCAAACAGGAGAAGGTTGTGCCATGCTTGGATAGTTCCGGGGGAGTCATTGACCTTTTTCAAGAGGCTGGATAGTTTGGCTGCTGCCTGGGGCCGGGCAGCTTTGGGGATGTGCTGCAGGGTTCCAACCGATGTTGCTTTGATGGCTTCTAGTAGATTCTCAGTCGAAATGAAGCTGTTACAGGTGTTTTCCCTGACTGCTGGAGTGGGGCCTTGATTGATACCCTCTTTGGGAGGGCGCCACATACCCGGACAATCGGTTCCGTTGTGAGCATGCTTGCGCACATCTCCGTTACGCTTGAGTCTCCACACCTTGTCACACACTTGGCATGTGCCGTTGTGTTGTCACACACTTGTCATGTCACACACACTTGTGTTGTCACACAAGTGACAACACACACACAAGTGACACAACACACAAGTGACACAACACGACACACAAGTGACACACACACACACACTTGTGTTGTCACACACTTGGCATGTTCCGTTGTGAGCATGCTTGCGCACATCTCCGTTACGCTTGAGTCTCCACACCTTGTCACACACTTGGCATGTGCCATACCTGTCGTCGATTGATGGCTCCTCTTGGCTGAGAGAAGCCTGGCTAGAGAAGCCTGACGAGAAGCCTCGTCTCAGCATTATATATATATATATATATATATATATATATATATATATATATATATATATATATATATATATATATATATATATATATTACTTTTTTATTTATGATCTGTGGCCTAGAAGCGGTTTGTAAGAATACTTCTCACATTTTCAAAGACATTTTTTAGTTACTCAGATCGTGCTTAAATTTGTTTTTGGGTGAAGTGATGGGATACAAATGTTTTTGGGTGAGGTGATTGGAAACAAAAGACAAAACACAAAACAGTGGATATACATTCGATATATACAAAGAGAATATAACCATGGGTATACATTCCATCTTCTTGCTTCTGTGCTGGTTCGAGGTCTTGAAGTGGGTAGAATGTAATTTTGTGTTAATTGGCTGTTGATTGCTGGTTTTGACTTTTTTATGTGTAGGACCTCACTGATGTCGGGCCTCCTGCTATTGCTTTATCAATCGATGATTTCTGTATTGCTTGTTAAGATTTCTCAGGTGAATATCTGGTTGTGTGAGGAGATTATATGTTCCTTGGTGGAGCCCTGTTGTTTGTGTATTGTTAATCGCCTAGAAAGAGACGTTTGTTTTCTTGCCTATATACTGAGATCTTTGGGTATGATTGTCCCAAGTGGGCATGTGAAGGCATAGATGACGTTGGTTTCTTTCAAGTCGTTCTGCTTGGTGTCTGGAGAGTTCTTCATGAGTTGGTTGGTCGTTTTCTTGTTTTTGTAGTAAATTGTCAATTGTATCTTCTGACTTTTGTCTGTGGGGATAACGTTCCTATTAATAATATCTTTCAGGACAATTTCCTCCGTTTTTATGAGCTGTCGAAAAAAAGTTCCTGTAAAACAGTATAATAGATGGTAAAAGTGTTGTGTTAGTTGACTCTTCGAAGGTTGCATGGCATTTCACCTTTCTTTTTATGACGTCTTCAACATAACCGTTAAAGAAGCCATTGTTGACTAGGACCTGCCAACACACTGGCGGGGGTCTCCAGCAACACATTGGGAGGGGTCTGTAGCAACACACTGGCAGAGGTCTGAAGCAACACACTGGCAGGGGTCTGCAGCAACACACTGGCAGGGGTCTGCAGCAACACACTGGCAGGGGTCTCCAGCAACACACTGGCAGGGGTCTCCAGCAACACACTGGCAGGGGTCTCCAGCAACACACTGGCAGGGGTCTCCAGCAACACACTGGCAGGGGTCTCCAACATCACACTGGCAGAGGTGTCCAGCAACACACTGGCAGGGGTCTCCAGCAACACACTGGCAGGGGTCTCCAGCAACACACTGGCAGAGGTCTCCAGCAACACACTGGCAGGGGTCTCCAGCAACACACTGGCAGGGGTCTCCAGCAACACACTGGCAGGGGTCTCCAGAAACACACTGGCAGGGGTCTCCAGCAACACACTGGCAGGGGTCTCCAGCAACACACTGGCAGGGGTCTCCAGCAACACACTGGCAGGGGTCTCCAGCAACACACTGGCAGAGGTCTCCAGCAACACACTGGCAGAGGTCTCCAGCAACACACTGGCAGGGGTCTCCAGCAACACACTGGCAGGGGTCTCCAGCAACACACAGGCAGAGGTGTCCAGCAACACACTGGCAGAGGTCTCCAGCAACACACTGACAGAGGTCTCCAGCAACACACTGGCAGGGGTCTCCAGCAACACACTGGCAGGGGTCTCCAGCAACACACTGACAGAGGTCTCCAGCAACACACTGGCAGAGGTCTCCAGCAACACACTGGCAGGGGTCTCCAGCAACACACTGGCAGGGGTCTCCAGCAAGACACTGGCAGGGGTCTTCAGCAACACACTGGCAGAGGTCTCCAGCAACACGCTGGCAGAGGTCTCCAGCAACACACTGGCAGAGGTCTCCAGCAACACACTGGCAGGGGTCTCCAGCAACATACTGGCAGAGGTGTCCAGCAACACCTTGGGAGGGGTCTCCAACATCACACTGGCAGAGGTGTCCAGCAACACACTGGCAGGGGTCTCCAGCAACATACTGGCAGAGGTCTCCAGCAACACACTGGCAGAGGTCTCCAGCAACACACTGGCAGGGGTCTCCAGCAACACACTGGCAGAGGTCTCCAGCAACACACTGGCAGGGGTCTCCAGCAACACACTGGCAGAGGTCTCCAGCAACACACTGGCAGGGGTCTCCAGCAACACACTGGCAGAGGTCTCCAGCAACACACTGGCAGAGGTCTCCAGCAACACACTGGCAGGCTTCCACACAGGTTTATAACAAGCCTTAACATACGGACAGTACTTCCATCTAATAACTCAACTTGACCATCCGGGATATGTCTGTGCATTAACTAATACTTTGCTAAGTATCACAGACTAAGACAGACACTGTCTACCCCGACTCGGCCACTTCTTCCCACTGGAACACGTCTTGAGTTTAGGACTTCCCTGAGTGAACTGATTCCTGTCGACCAAGATACAATCCACATCACTTCTGCGGACAAACAATGTGATTACTCTGACAGAAACTACACAGGGATCAAATATGATCAAAGCCTTACACCGGGGGAACAGCAAATGGGGGTGGGTGCGCTCAGGTTTGATTCTATCTCTGACATTACATTTAAGATTTCCCCTGACATTTTGGTATATATTCTTATCCTCTTTTTTGTGTAATACTGTATAGCGATAAATGTCGTATATAATGAAGATGGCTGTTACAATCATGAACATTACATTATAAGTAACATCAACAGTGATGTTATAGTGAAGATAATACATAGTGAATGTGAATTCAGAGATGGTGCCCGAGTAACCTTAACAAGACATTAACTTCATTACTGAACCGGTACGGGTTTAGTAATGAAAATAGTGTGTTGTGAAGGTGTTATTAATAGTGTGTAATGATGGTCGAGCTTATTGTACAAAGTAACAGGAATTAATGTCATGTGTAGCGTATTCTTTGTGTTTATCTTTTCCCTTTGTAACGCCTGCTACTAGTAGTTTAATTAAGGACTCCCAACGTGCTTATACTAACTGTCGTCTCCGTCTCATAAATTGTTTATCTTTTTATGTGAGCGAATTTGAGGCAGTAGACAATAGTAGCAATTATGGTGAAGTTTATATCTTGCCCTGAGTAAGGCTTATAATAATTTCCAATAAAAGTGTTCTTTCCTTTCTAAACAGTTGTTTAGCTTCATAGCAATAATAACCACACGTAAAGACGTCTTGGCAGCGCTTCAGATATCGTCAAGTATTTAATTAACACAACGCCGTTTGATGAGTCGCGGCCCAGAGCCTCCCGTCTAATTTTGACATATGCCTTTTATTTCCCACTAGGAATTTGGAGGCACCGAGCTAGCACCAGCATACACACTCTATCATATGGAGTTCTCCACCTAAAGCTCGCATTAAATCCACAATTAAATCACTATAACGTGAAATATATGTGAGAAAATCTTTGGAGTTAGTTCCTACTCGGTGCCTCTAAATTCCAAGTGGGTTTGTATGGATTGTACAGTTATCTTAATATTGTGATTTATTGGTAGGGCGGGTGTCTGGGGTGTCCCAGGATGCTGGTTCCGTCTCACCCTCCTACTCCCTAGAATTTCTCATAGAAATATCACGTTAGTGAGATATCATTGTGTATTATTAGTTTGATGCTGAGTTTCAGAGAACATCTTTCCATACGACTCTCTCTAATTGTTGTTGCTGGCGAAGAAGAGAAATTTATGAAAAGGATTAAATATTGTTTGGCCCCATAGTGTTTGAATGGATGAAACAAGTTTACTCTCATAATGTTAAAACCGTATTGCTATTTTTTTTCTTTTTAAATTACAAAATTCACAAGCGCTCGAGCACATTCCATGTATTTACTGCCAGGAGAGAAAATTTGTATATATCCATTAATATGTGAAATAAGTATGATAAACAGTGATAACATTCTTGTGCGAATTTTTTTAAGATACAAGTACTCAAAATAAATTGACAATGCATTACTATGCGAAATTAAAGAAGGTGTGAAGTTAACAGTAGTGGAGGCAAAACATTTTACTTAAACTAGCTTTTCACTTGTACATCATAAAATTTAGGATTTGTTCGTGTTAATTTATTTGATAATATATTGTAACGTGAAATTTAAGTAGATAGTATGAGTTGATGTGCCGCACCTTACATGTTGTTTACTTCTCCCTCAAGGTGGCTTTGTTTACCTGGAGTCCTTCAACACGCTCCACACAAGTCGTCTGAAGAGCGCTCTCCTCTCAGCCAATCAAACTTTCTGCCTTGCATTTTGGTTCTCTGAAATCTACAAAGATTCTTCAGCAAAACTGTCTGTGATCAGGTGGGTTATGAACACTGTTGCGAGTGACGTAGCTACGAGACAACACCCGTCCATGTAGGGGGCTCAGCCTCATATATCACCTGCTTCTTGTTTGCCACTTCTTTCTGGTTATAAATTTTTCACACGTAGGCTGAGGTAAGTCTTTTGTGTGCAGAGAGTGTTCAGGTACTTTCACACTCATTCACACACACACACACACACACCAATATCCAATATCCATCATAAATCCAATAAAGCAGAAGCGATAAAAGAAAGAGTTAGTGAGGCAAACCCAGACATAGTGGCAATAGTGGAAACTAAAATAAATGACATGATCTCGGATGCAATCTTTCCAGACGGGTACCAGGTGATAAGAAAAGAAAGGACACAGAGACAGGGAGGAGGAGTGGCACTCCTAATAAAGTGGAAATGGAAGTTTGATGAGCTGGAAAATCCGGGTACCAATGAAAGCACAAGCTCCATACATGGAACTCTGACAGTGGATGGGAAGAAGATTGTAATCTTGATACTCTACAATCCCCCACCAAACAGTAGAAGGCCCAGGCAGGAGTACGAGGACAGCAACAAGGCATGTATAGATGAACTGCAGAGGGCAGCAACTATAGCGCATAGAATGAGAGCGAAGCTGCTGTTCATGAGGGACCTAAATCACGGTGAGATAGATTGGAAACGAGGAATCCTCATGGCGGGGAGGAGACCTGGGGAGCGAAGCTGGTAGACGTTATTGACAGGAATTTCCTAACACAGCATGTGAAGGAAGATACTAGGGAAAGAGAAGGGGGGATACGCCCAGCCTATTAGACCTCGTTTTCACCCAGAATGTAGAAGACATCGAGCAGTTGGAACATGAAAAACCACTAGGAGCCAGTGACCATTGTGTCCTATTCTTTGACTACATGATGGAGCTTAAAATTTTGACCAAAGGACAAGAGGTCCGGGAAAGGAGACTTGATTACAGAAAAGGGGACTACAGAAGGATAAGGGACTACCTGGGAAAAGTGCAGTGGGAAGAAGAACTTAATGGAAAAACAGTGCAAGGTATGATGAACCAAGTCATATGGAAATGCAAGGAGGCTGAAGAGAGATTTATCCCAACAGTGAAGGAAAAAAGCAGGAGGGAATATAATAAACTATGGTTTAATAGACAGTGTCAGGAAGCAAAGGTGAGAAGCAGGAGGGAGTGGAGGAAGTACAGAAGACAAAGGACAGAGGACAACAGGACCAGATGTAACAGAGCTAGGAATGATTACATTAACATAAGACGAGTGTCGGAAAGAAATTATGAGAATGATATTGCAATCAAAGCGAAAAAGCAACCTAAATTACTACATAGCCATATAAGAAGGAAGATGTCGGTGAATGACCAAGTGACACGACTAAGAAAAACAGAAGGGGCATATACAGAAAGCGACAAGGAAATCTGCGAGGTACTGAATGAAAATTTCCATGGAGTGTTCACAACCGAGCCTGAGCAGCTCCCATTGTTAGAAGCGATTACCCTAGATGAAAGACTATCAGATATAGAGGCGACAGCAGAGGAGGTAATGAAACAGTTGACAACACTGGATGCAAATAAAGCTGTTGGACCAGACAAAGTATCACAGTGGATACTAAAAGAGGCAGCGCAGGCTCTCAGCGTGCCTCTGGCAATGATCTTTAATGAGTCACTTATGTCCGGAGAATTGCCCAGTGGCTGGAAGGAGGCAAATGTCGTACCGATTTTCAAGAAAGGTGATAGGGAGGAGGCACTTAACTACAGACCCGTGTCATTGACAAGCATCCCCTGCAAAATACTTGAAAGAATAATTAGGCTAAGACTTGTTGAGCACCTGGAGAGCATTGGGTTTGTAAACAAGCACCAACATGAGTTCTGGACAGGAAAATCATGCCTAACAAACCTTTTAGAATTCTATGATAAAGTAACAAGGATAAGGCAGGACAGACTGCATATTTCTTGACTGCCAAAAGGCCTTTGATACAGTACCGCACACGAGACTGCTATACAAACTTGAGAGGCAGGCAGGAGTAGGCGGAAAGGCCCTAGCATGGGTGAAGAACTACCTAACAGGAAGGAGCCAGAGGGTAATGGTAAGGGGCGAGAAGTCGGACTAGCGAACAATAACAAGTGGAGTACCTCAAGGATTGGTGCTGGAACCAATCCTCTTTCAAATTTACGTAAATGATATGTTTACAGTAGTGGAATCATACATGTCAATGTTTGCGGATGACGCAAAATTAATGAGAAGAGTTGTGATAGACGAGGATTGTAGGATCCTCCAAGAGGACTTAAACAGGTTGCAGAGATGGTCAGGGAAATGGCTACTGGAGTTTAACACCAGTAAATGTAAAGTTATGGAAATGGGATCAGGTGATAGGAGTCCAAAGGGACAGTACACAATGAAGGGGAACTGCCTACCTGTAACGATTCGAGAAAGAGACCTGGGAGTGGATGTGACACCTAATCTAACTCCTGAGGCACATATAAATAGGATAACGACAGCAGCGTACTCTACACTGGCAAAAATTAGAACTTCATTCAGAAACCTAAATGAGGAGGCATTTAGGGCGCTTTACACTGCCTACGTGAGACCCGTCTTAGAGTATGCCGCGCCATCATGGAGCCCCCACCTGAAGAAACACATAAGGAAACTGGAGAAGGTTCAGAGGTTTGCAACGAGGCTTGTCCCAGAGTTACGAGGGATGGGATATGAAGAGCGTCTGAAGGAACTGAACCTTACGACACTAGAGAAAAGAAGGGAGAGAGGAGATATGATAGGGACATATACAATACTCAGGGGAATTGACAAAGTGGAAATAGATGAAATGTTCACACGTAATAATAACAGAACGAGGGGACATGGGTGGAAACTGGAAACTCAGATGAGTCACAGAGATGTTAGGAAGTTTTCTTTTAGCGTGAGAGTAGTGGAAAAATGGAATGCACTTGGGGAACAGGTTGTGGAAGCAAATACTATTCATACTTTTAAAACTAGGTATGATAGGGAAATGGGACAGGAGTCATTGCTGTAAACAACCGATAGCTGGAAATGCGGGATCCAAGAGTCAATGCTCGATCCTGCAAGTACAAATAGGTGAGTACACACACACACACACACACACACACACACACACACACACACACACACACACACACACACACACACACACACACACACACACACACACACACACACACACACACACACACACACACACACACACACACACACACACACACACACACACACACACATAGGTGAATACATACACACTAGGTGAATACATACACGTAATTAGGGGAGTACATACACACACACAACACACACACACACACACACACACACACACACACACACACACACACACACACACACACACACACACACACACACACACACACACACACACACACACACACACACCACACCCACACACACCCACACACATGCGTGTGTGTGGGGGGGGGTGATCTTCGGGGTCTGGTAGCTGAGTGGACAGTGCCCAGGACTCCAGAGCCCGGGTTCAATTCCCGGACCAGGCAGAAACAAATGGGCAAAGTTTCTTTCACCCTGAATTCCCCTGTTACCTAGCAGTTAATAGGTACCTAGGAGTTAGACAGCTGTTACGGAGCTGCTTCCTAGGGGTGTGGAGGTGTGTGTCTGGGGGAAAAAATAGTTAGTTAGTAGTTAGTGACAGTTGATTGACAGTTGAGAGGCGGGCCGAAAGAGCAAAGATAAAACCCGGCAAGCAGCGCTAAAATCGTGTGTACGTGTTTATATTATGAACATCAATTAAAAAAACAAAACATATTAAGAAGTTTAGGTATAATACTCTCATTTCTAAATTTCTTTACAAACAAATGCAACAACGACAAGAATACGAAAAGTAAAATATATGTGAACAATCAAAACACCAGTAACATCACATAGAATGTTTAGTCTGTACAGAACAAATCGCTGTGAAACAATGTAATATCAACACCTCTGTTACTACATGTTTTCCTCGTGTCCAGGACTGCCGCAGGGGACGAAGAGGTTCTCTGGAGTGTTCACCAGGACAAAATTGATAGTCCTCCTGCTGTTGTCAACAACAAAGCAGTCTGGCGCTATGCTCAGGTCTTCCTCCCCAGCCAAGACGCCGATTACCAGGTAAACGTAAATTATTATAATTAATATTATCATTGTTATTATTCCTATTTTGAATACTATATACACATCACTAGAGTTACATCAATATTTGCATCCTAAACCGCTCTTTTTACGACACTTATCAGTAGTAATGTACGGGTTATTTATTTTTATTTAATACTGCTTTGTTTTATTATATATTAATTAGCAAGATTTGTAATTGTTAATTTTGCGAAACTTTTGCCAAAATATGTTGCATAACTTTTCGTAATTCGGTTGTCTTTTCAAGTAAATCTTTCAACATCTTTCTAGACGTAGACGTATATACACCGAGAAGCGAAATACACTTCTTGTTGTATATATGTTATGTCTTGATCCCAAGCAAGGCTCGTGGAGTAGAACTTTCCCTTATAAACCAGTGAACCTCCAGGCCTCAAATATGTAAGTTCAAAATGTCTAGGGTTGGGTGAAGTCTAAATAAAATCCACCAGTTTACTGGGGCGAACTTATCTACATGACACAGCTAATTTACAATATATATATATATATATATATATATATATATATATATATATATATATATATATATATATATATATGTCGTACCTAGTAGCCAGAACGCACATCTCAGCCTACTATGCAAGGCCCAATTCGCCTAATAAGACAAGTTTTAATGAATTAATTGTTTTTCGACTACCTAACCAAACCTAACCTAACTTTTTCGGCTACCTAACCTAACCTATAAAGATAGGTTAGGTTAGGTTAGGTAGGGTTGGTTAGGTTCGGTTATATATCTACGTTAATTTTAACTCCAATAAAAAAAAATTGTCCTCATACATAATGAAATGGGTAGCTTTATCATTTCATAAGAAAAAATTAGAGAAAATATATTAATTCAGGAAAACTTGGCTTATTAGGCAAATCGGGCCTTGCATAGTAGGCTGAGAAGTGCGTTCTGGCTACTAGGTACGATATATATATATATATATATATATATATATATATATATATATATGTCGTACCTAGTAGCCAGAACGCACTTCTCAGCCTACTATGCAAGGCCCGATTTGCCTAATACTCCTAGTTTTCATGAATTAATTGTTTTTCGACTACCTAACCTACCTAACCTAACCTAACCTAACTTTTTCGGCTACCTAACCAAACCTAACCTATAAAGATAGGTTAGGTTAGGTTAGGTAGGGGTGGTTAGGTTCGGTCATATATCTACGTTAATTTTAACTCCAATAAAAGAAACTGACCTCATACGTAATGAAATGCGTAGCTGTATCATTTCATAAGAAAAAATTTAGAGAAAATACATTAATTCAGGAAAACTTGGCTTATTAGGCAAATTGGGCCCTGCATAGTAGTCCAAAAAGTGCGTTCTGGCTACTAGGTACGACATATATAAATATATATATATATATATATATATATATATATATATATATATATATATATATGTCGTACCTAATAGCCAGAACGCACTTCTCAGCCTACTATTCAAGGCCCGATTTGCCTAATAAGCCAAGTTTTCATGAATTAATGTTTTTTCGTCTACCTAACCTACCTAACCTAACCTAACCTAGCTTTTTTTGGCTACCTAACCTAACCTTACCTATAAATATAGGTTAGGTTAGGTTAGGTAGGGTTGGTTAGGTTCGGTCATATATCTATGTTAATTTTAACTCCAATAAAAAAAAATTGACCTCATACATAGAGAAAAGGGTTGCTTTATCATTTCATAAGAAAAAAATTATAGTAAATATATTAATTCAGGAAAACTTGGCTTATTAGGCAAATCGGGCCTTGAATAGTAGGCTGAGAAGTGAGTTCTGGCTACTAGGTACGACATATATATATATATATATATATATGCGAACAAGCCTGAATGGTCCCCAGGACTATATGCGAATGAAAACTCACACCCCAGAAGTGACTCGAACCCATACTCCCAGGAGCAACGCAACTGGTAACTACAGGGCGCCTTAATCCACTTGACCATCACGGCCGTCAAAAGGAAGTGATAGCCGAGGCTATTTGAGCCACTTCCCCGACGGCAACTCGGATGGTAATCTTGGGCATAGCATTTCACCAAATCACCTCATTCTTTGGGGCACACGTGAGGAACACAAATGCGTTACGCACTACACGCAGCGTAGGCGACGGCCCGACACCCACACACACCGGCTCAGCAACCCCAGGGGCTACAGCAGTGACCAGATGTGCCGCACAGGCCGTAGAACTCGCCTCAACAGGCGGAGCAACAGACAGGCAATCAGGCGCCTCGGGCACAGTACCCACTCCGTCCTCAGAACCGTCCAGGGGCGGAAAATCCTCCGCACGAAAAACATGCACCCTACCAGTCGCTTCCACGTCGCACGCTGCAGCCAGATGACCCTCGTCACCACACCGACAACAGGTGCGCGGTGTACCCCGATACAGGCAGCGGAGCGTGTAACCCAACACGGACATCGACGATGGTACACTACACTTCAGGGGGGCATTAGATTGGTTTTGGAAAAGTTGTTCAATGTCAACCAATATTTTTTGACTAGTTGTATATGAAAAGGGCTGCAATTGTTCCAAGTTTCAATACTGCAGCGTATATAAAAAGGGAGATTTTTTGGTTTTATTATTTTCAACGACTTTTACACATATTCAAGTGTAAATAAATAAACACACCTTTCAGATATAATTATTCTATGACACTTTTCTGACACATTAGCATATAATAAAGGATCAGTAGATAGATAATTTCCAAAACATCTTTAGTTTTCCCTAATACAAATTTTCAAAGTTCCCCCCAAAAATTATGCAAATATGTCATGTCTATTGCTATTATAAAATCAATAAATGAACTTAGAGAAAAAAAACTATCTACCAAATTTAGAGACATGCACTCTACATATATGGTGTAAGTTTCATGTAAACTGAATAAAAAATGAAAAGTTATTTGAACGTTTATGTTACTTGAAAACGAATACGAAAATAATAAAGTCCAAGGTGCTGCCATCTGTGGCTGAGGTTGACATCAACCAATTTTCTCCAAAATTAGCACCCATACAGATAGGCTTATGTGCAGTCAAGTGTATAAGTTTCATGCAAATCGTCCGATAAAAAAAAAGAAAATGAAATAAAAAAAAATTTAACTAAAATTTTTTCTAATAAAACTAATTATAATAATTTTTAATATATGCTATTGTGATAGCTGAGAGTCATAGACATGATTTTAGTTGACACTTGTGTATGATAATCTTTTTTGACCATTTTTGAATAATTTTGACACCTACTTCAATATTTTTTCCTTTTCCTATTTATGTTACGATGCTGAGACTTGGGCCAGATTAAACGCTTTTTATGTACAACTCGTCAAAAAAGTTTGATTGAAATCAAACCAGTTTTCATTTAATTCATTTGTGGGGAAATCGGATTCTAATTCCCCCTGCTTCAGCGACATCGTCAGGGTGCGGGAGCCGTCAAGCATACCAGCACAGTGCTCGGCAAGGGCCTTGTTCTTACAAACACTTAACACTGTCCCAAATCGTTCAAAACAGGAGGTTAAAAAGTCATCCTGAAATTCGAAGGAGGCACCATGCACCGTCACAGATGTCAAGGTGATACTAAGATTCACCGCCTTAACAGAACCAGCAGTATCAGGGAGAGGGTAAACACGCCCCTCACACCCCTCGAGAAACGCCTGAAAGGCAGCCAGGAGACCGAACTTGACCACAACACGGTTGCCCTGCACATGAAGCACGTCCACCAGGGCGACACCAACCAACGAATGATCTACCGGTACCGTAAATACCAGACCAGCCTAAAATATCCTCTTCACTGGAGGGCAAGAAGTCCCCATGGCTAAGACAAACGTCACCCTGTCAGTGGCAAACCACCACCAGCAGGGCAAACCAGTAATCACCCAACGTAAACACAAGCCAGGAGCGGAGAGACCTCAGGAACGTCCGACCTGGCCGGTGGTCACCACGCAACTCCGTAGTGACTTCTGTCGGCATGCAGGTGAACCAGACTCAAAACCCAAATATCTTTCTAAGTTTACCTACCTGAATCGCACCAAAGCCTCTTCTTAAGGCATACTTAGGAATCTTCGTAGCAAACCTACTTACGAAGAAATACATGGAGCTTCGTGAATCTAGGTCCTGTAAGTACTGCTCCTCACTATCCACTACAGGTCAACCAAACAATGCCAACCTAAAAATATGTCTAACACTATCGGGGTAATGAAAAGAAAACATAAAATACATTTGAGCAAATTACACAACTCGGGAACCTATGCAGATGTTCAAGTACACAAAATTACAATTAAAGTAACAAAAACAATTACATCAACCACTCTGACACTAAAAAAGTTCTTTCTAATATCTCTGTGGCTCATTTGGGCACTCAGTTTCCACCTGTGTCCCCTAGTGTGTGTGCCCCTTGTGTTAAATAGCCAGTCTTTATCAACCCTGTCGATTCCCTTGAGAATCTTGAATGTGGTGATCATGTCCCCCCTAACTCTTCTGTCTTCCAGCGAAGTGAGGTTTAATTCCCGTAGTCTCTCCTCGTAGCTCATACCTCTCAGCTTGGGTACTAGTCTGGTGGCAAACCTTTGAACCTTTTCCAGTTTAGTCTTATCCTTGACTAGATAGGGACTCCATGCTGGGGCTGCATACTCCAGGATTGAGCTGACATATGTGGTATACAAAGTTCTGAATGATTCTTTACACAAGTTTCTGAATGCCGTTCGTATGTTGGCCAGCCTGGCATATGCCGCTGATGTTATCCTCTTGATATGGGCTGCAGGAGACAGGTCTGGCGTGATATCAACCCCCAAGTCTTTTTCTTTCTCTGACTCCTGAAGAATTTCCTCTCACAGATGATACTTTGTATCTGGCTTCTTGCTCCCTTCACCTATCTTCATTACATTACATTTGGTTGGATTAAACTCTAACAACCATTTGTTCGACCATTCCTTCAGTTTGTCTAGGTCTTCTTGAAGCCTCAAACAGTCCTCTTCT